GGAAAAAAGCCCCCCAAACAACCTCAAAAAAAAAAAAAAAAAAAACAAACCCCCCCCCTTCCCTAAAAAAAAAAAAAAAAAAAAAAAAGAATAGCTAATTTGATGTATTTATGAGCAAACTAAAACTGGAGAGTGCTAAGTAGGAAAAGAGAAAAAGAAATTACAGTATGTCAGCTAGTTCATGCCCTGATACTATCTTTACCAACATTAAATGTGTAATTAAATAAAGTGTCTTTTAATGTTTTACATTGTGCTCAGTAATTTACATAAATTTAATCTACACCCGGGTGCTGATGTAGATTTACATTTGATTGTCTTGTGCATAAACAAGGTTAGCTTTGAAAGAAGGTAAACTGTGCAATGGACAGTCACAAACAACTTATTACCTGCACAATATTGCTTTTTGAAGGCGACATCAGTCAATGTGGATACACACAAATAATGCATACTCTTTGCATTTGCTAACATCTATACGACACACTAAAACTTTGTGATAAGGCCAAACCTTTTTTTTTTCTGTTTTTAATTTTAAAGCAAAAATATACCATAGTAAAAAAATGTGCTCACACCGTTTTGAGTCTTTAAGTGGAAAATAAATCTCTATCACACTAGAATAAAATTCTCTCTATAAAATTTAAATACGGATCACTTCATTGCTATATCAAAAGGAAACGTCTGGCAATCATTTCCAGATGATCACGATAACAAGACACATTAAGAGGTCCTGTCGCCTCTTCCTTTGTGAAAAGATAAATGTTGTACACTTTCAATCGCTCTCACAGTGAGAGGAATACGTTCCTTGGTTGTGGATTTTGATTCTGTCAATGAAAAAGGTTTAGCCTTAGGAATGCTGGCTACATCTCAAAACTGTAAGACTGATTTTTATAATTTATGATTCATGCAGCAAAAAGTCAATATGACACATACAGGTTAGAGTTCCATAGCATAAAAATACATCACTAGCAATGACATGCTCCGCTTGTGATCAACAGCCCTGTCTTGGCAGATTTCTGATATAAATGGTCTCTCTGGACAGTTTTTTTCCTCTTTCCGATGCCTGCCTCTGAAGAAGCAAGCAGTCTGCTCAAGGATGATTTTGGACCTTGGAGGTCTAACTCTAACGTCTACATTTTGGCAAAATGTAAACAAAAATCATTATCACGCACTATATATGTCATTATAAATATCATAACTTAACTGAGATTACACATGAAATGAGTATCTAAATGCACGTGTTACTCAGGGCAAAACCATGAACGGTGACAACCAGCTTTGACAGGAAGAATCTTCTACGCAAGACCCACACAAAGCAAACATGAGAGTCTCATGGCACCATCAGAAACGAGACTCTGGGCTGCACTGGGAAGTGCACCTTGGTTATTTCACTCAAAGGCCAGTTGCTACAGAGGGTGCTGACTGCAGTACTGATGCCTGCCACTCCGATGGTCAAACCAGTGGCTGAATCCCACAATGGCTCGAGACTACCGATATTTAAAAGCAAGTTTTGTCTTTGCAGGACTAAGGTCAGTATCCACTGGTCAGAGTCTGCAAGAGCATCCTCAGGTGTTCTGGTTTTGCTCTCATGATCATATAAATCAGGAGTCGTACTGGGGGAGTCAATGAAGCCACACAAAGACGGGGAGGAGATCAGAGGCCATTAAATGTCAGTACATCAGATCTGTAAAACTAAGAACTTGGTCTTAGTTTTCAGTTGAGGAATACTTCTAACCCCCCTCTGTTCATCAGAGACAGATTCCAACTTCTCTAAAAAGCTAGAAAAATATGTTGACATATGTCCTTTCTGCTTAAAGCACTGCCAAACCTGTCACAGTTGGTTACCTGATTTTAGGCACATCAGTCATCTGCAGTCACCTAAGGAAAGAGGCCTGATTTTTCTGAGCCCTGATTAACCACAACTCCAAACTGCACCAGCACCTTGGGAAGTCAGGCCATTAGCTCAGCTGCCTACATGTAACTTACATGCCTCAATGCAGACAACCGCTTATGCAGGCTGTGTTTGAAAACTGTGTAACTCGCCATGGTAGGCCTTGGGGGACAAGCTGCTGTGTGAGCAATGATTTTTACAGCAGCCAGTGCTCAAAGTGTTAATTCTCAGCACCGTCTCAAACTGCAGTTCTGTTCAGAGCATTTCAAGTTCTTCCATCTCTTGTGCTTCCCCAAGTCAATCCAGTAACTCTCACTTTTTTTTTCTAACCTCTGATCTTTATTTATTTTTTGATAAACGTAGTCCTGGCAATCCCAAGTGTTACAAGCCAGTTACCAGGGCCCCAGTAGTTATGAGCCAAGTCCCTGCTGGGTAGTGACTTGCCACCTAAATAATTAACATTTAGGCTACTGATTTTCTTTGTTGCCCAAAGGATAAGCATTATTGACCGTAATGACAGACTGAACCTCCCAAGAAGCAGCACAACTCCAGGAAGCAAAGCTCTAAAAATCACATGAAGCATCATGGACCTCGTAGCAGTGAGATCACTGTGAACACTACTAGGAGAAATGTGACGTTCTTTCTCCTGGTTCTCATCCACAGTCAAAACTCGTACACTAACTGAAGCTCACCTTTAGCAACCAGGTGAGATACTTGGACTGGCTTTAGAAGGAACTCCATCCTCAGATCTGTAGCAGAAAATAAATGCACACTTCTTTTCTCTTTGCAAGCCACTGTGGGTATAGATGGATCCATATAATGGATTACCTGGTTTCTTGCTTTCCCTATATGCTATCGGCTCCCTATCAAGCCAACGCCTAATCAGATCTCTAGCACTTTATACTGACTATGGATGCTGCTCATCTGAGATTCTGCATGAGTACATGTGAATTCATCACAGTCTGGTCTCTTGTTCCAAAAAGCTAAAATGTTTCTAACTCCTTGTCCCCAAGAAACAGTTCTCTACAAGGATTTTGGATAGAGACCGATGTTGTTAACACATATGCTTTGAAATGGAGCAAACACAGCCTGCAACAGAGGTTCTCCAACTTCAGCAAACATTTAGGAACAAATTTCCAATGGTCTGACTTTCTTAGTACCTGCAAAAAAAACCCAACCCTGAACACCTCACTGTGTTTAATATTCTCACAAAATTATGAGTACAAACCCTTAAGTGACAACATCAGTGCTCACAACTGATCACAGGTGCATCAAGGAAGAGGGAGAACAAGATTGCACATCCCTGAAAACATAGCCAATAGCACTCCAAATGTTTTATCAATGATGTAGGGAGAGAGGGGAGGAAAGAATTTAACTCCTGACACACATATACTGTGTTCCACCTACAAGATAAGTTTTCCTGAGTATCATGCTTTCATGAGGGGATAAACACATAATGTATGGGTTTAGATATGGGCCATGAGCTTTCAAAGTCAACAGGCAAATAGATCAATAAATAGCAGAGAAAGAAACTGGTACAAATGAATGCACAACACAAAAGAACATAGGGCATGAGAAAGTATGAAATACGTGAACTAAGCCTCTGGCTCCCAGGAGAACAGAAGGATGCTTTTGATGTATCATACAAATTCAGAGAATGGTTTAATATCAAGTTTATAAAACCCGGAGACAACACCCCTGAATGAAAATGGATGACAGAGAGGAACCTCTTCCTATAATGCCCTCATCACCGGCCTCCAAACATTCCAGGATTGTGAGATTTCGGCAGCAGGACATCCTGTCATTGCTCAGTTCAGTTCCTGCTAGTGCAGTTAGTGGAAATAAATTAAAGGAATCAAGAGAGAATCTAGCCAAATGGAACACATACAGACACCAAAGAGAGAGAATGTAGCTGATCAACACATAGAAACGCACACACTCACAGGAAAGGGTGAGAGAAGGAGAGAGAAAGAAGATAGAAATATGGAAATATGTTTAAGACATCTGTTGAAGACTTGTAATTATATATATATAAAATTATATATATACGTGCATATAAACTTTATATATATATATAAAACAAAAGATTACTGCCAAGCAACACTATTTGTATTACTGGGATAAAGCTGTACAGTCTTGAGTGTTGTTACTAACAAAGTTGGTTTCTGTGCCCTCTGAAGGTCACCCCATATGTTTTGTTCTCCTTGTCCTCATTCTGTGATCATTCACATCCCTGAATAACTCTGAGGACAGCCTGCTATCCCGACAGGGAGCCTTCTCCTTCAGAGTGACAAATTTTCCATGCACCTCAGGAAAAACAGACCTCTCCACTCCCAGGAAAAGCACCTCAGAGGATCAAATTCCCCCCCTTTCCGCAACAGACCCTCCAGTGAAGTTACCTGGAGTTCGAATGTAGTAAGAACTGGAGGATCTTACTTTCTTATACACATGGGAAAAAAAAATGAGCCAGTCCCTTCTACCATTCTGCATTATTTTAAGTACTTGATTTATGGGGCACTGTTAAACTGTATCTCCTGGAACAATCCTCAGATAACGATGGGATCTTGATGATGATGAAGATCCTAGACCATAATGGTGATAGTTACAATAGAAACAACCATGAACCCTAGAAATTTCATCTCATGAATTGCTCATTTGTGCCCTGCAAAATGAGGTAATACTAGACAGAATTGCCAGGGTCAGATTAACAATAGCTGTTTTAACTTGGAGGCCAATTTATTTTCTGCCACTTCAATTTTCCAAGCAATGATGTGTGTGAGCTGGTGACCACGCAAGTGCTGGTGAATGAGACTGGTCTGTTTGTATTTTCACTGTTAAGCTGTCAAAGCATTCACATCAAAGGACAGAAGAACAAATTGCAATAGTCACAAGTACCCGCATTAAAGGGATGTTTTCATCCATGTGTATACAACTGCCCCCCAGCAATCCCAAACAAAAACCCAAACAAAAACCCAACCCCACCTCAAGAAACAAGAGAATGAAAGAAGAAGAACAAACAGAGGTGAGAAGAGCTGGGCAACGGGATGAAATGACAGCCAGTAGTGCGACGGGGGGTTGCGGAGAACCGCTCCAGTCTCTCTAATCCTCAAACACTTCCAGGAACAACGGAGGAAAGAGTTCTGTGGGGCACTCCACCTTCATGTGCAGGAAGCGGCTGGCATGGCAGGCTCCAATCATTCGCAGGTCTGTCACTTTCATCAGCAGTTTTGGCCAAAAGTGTGAAACGTGGTGTTTTCTGTAATTAATGTAGTGTTCGAATGCCAGGAGGAAACCCTCTTGACACTTTTCTATCCTCTCGACGCAAACAAGGCCGGGACGATCTGTAGATACAAAGAAGTGGAATTATTGTTGTTACTTATTTACTTTAATGAATTCCTGATCATAAATCAGGAACAAAAGGACAATTTCATTGTTAGGAAAGACAGGATGGAGACCAAGGACAACTGGCTCTGCCACAAACAACTTCTTTGACTCTGGACACCTCATTTATCAGTACTATCCCTGTTAAAACAAGGAGACAATACTTCCTTTCTTCATCCCTTGCCTGCTTTGGCTGTTTAGAGGATAGCTGTTTGGGAGGTGTTTCCTTAGAGTAACTACAGCAACAGATCCCTGATCTCAGCTAAGGCTTCCATCTATACCTTTCTGTAAAACAACTAATAACGAACGAAAAAAATTCCTTGTCAGATATCTACATTTTAGTTCTTTCCTATCTGTTTCTCTGCAGATTGACCAATGCTTTGATCAAGCTTTGATCCATGGGTGAGCTGCAAAGGAAACTGTTATGGAGCACCAAGGAACAACAAAGGCCAAAAGATTCACTGATTGTCTCAATTGGCACCAGCCACTCTTCAGGAGACCCTTCTGGGAAAGCAGGTCCTCTGAACTGCCTACTCATGTATCACTGTGTAGGGAACTAAAAAGAAATCAAAATGTTTTGATTGGGAAGGTCAAGTGCTGTGCTGTGATTAATGTGGAACCTTTCTGTCACAGACTCAGTTAATGCTTGTAAATCACTGTCTGTGTATTGTTATTTGGTGGCCAATCTTCAAAGTGGTCTTACAATAAAACCCTGCCAAATCTGCCACTGCCCAAGGATGGAATTTCCCCTTTGGGCTGGCACCATCAGTGGAAGCACATTTGAAAACACACTTGATCTGAGAAGGCAAGAAACTCTTTGGAAATCATATGAAATGGTCTGTGCTGCTTCTGTTTCATGACACCAAGAGACCAGCTGCAAACGGTCCCGGCGTGGGGAAAAAGCACAGCTCTCAAACGCCCATTAGCAAGTGGTGGTGGTGTTAAGTAGGGAAACAAGAAGGCAGGTCAAACTAAGAGTATGAGACTGATGGAAATGTGTACGAACTGTGCTTCCCACCCAGTGCATGACAGTACCCAGGGGAAAAAGGAACTTATTGTAAGGCCAACTGTTGCTAAATTATCAGTTTTTCATTCAAGGCAAATTGGCTCAGAACCAGATCTGACTTCTTTCTGATGACCACCCCTGCCTCCTCCCCGAGTTCTAACCTGAGCAAGGTGTGGTACCAAAGCCCCTTTTATTCTATCTTTCTGAATACCCTGATTTTTTTTCCTGGTGCTTACCAAAACAGTTCTAAGCTGCACTGGGATTTTGACAGAGAATTTCTCCTGCATTACTCTGGTCAGCACTACATGATCTAACATACCCTATTTCTTTTAAAAAGAGGCTTGTGACAAAAGGCTAAAGAGTTTCAAAATGGTTGGAGTCCCAATATATTTCTGTTCTCACCTGATGACATGAGCAGAACAGCCTGAAGAAGGGCAACCTCGGTGTCATCCAGGTTAAATGAAGAAAGAGACATGCCCAGGTCAAAAATGGCATCAGACACTACGCCAAGACCCCCATTTTTCAGTTGGCCCCTTGTCACCGCCATCTCCCCATTTAGTGTTAAAGTCTCACTCTCCGGGTCATAGCGAACTGCTGCTCGGAGGGACATTATCTCCATACAGCAGCCTTTCAGAAGGATGATCTGGTCTTCGCATGGCAGCTGCAGAAATTATAAACAGTAAAGAAAAAGATGTGCTTTTCAAACTGAGTAGGTCTTACAACTACAATAAATCCATGAGCACGAAGTTGCAGTTCACACCCCAGGACACTACCCTCCAAACACGCTGCTACTGGCTAGTTCCAGCACACTGCAGAAACCTCCAAGGCTCATATTCCTGCTTCCAGAAACCACCAGCAGGTTAACATCCCCACACCCCCTTAGGGACTCTAGCGATGACACAGGGGTAGGCAAGCGATCCCAGGCAAGATACTCAGAGGAAACCAAGCTGGTTCAGATGCTGAGGTGAAGTGACTCCACTTGCAGAAGTGCTGCTCTCCATGGGACTGCTCAGTTTATGGGAGCATTATAAAATTAAGTCCAATAAACCTTAAGAATGTAGCTTTCCATTTTGAAGAACACTGCACAAAGTGTGAAGGGTAAAGCAGAACTGTCAGGTGCCGGGTTGGTGGTAATATACACTGTTGGCTTTGTCTCCCTTCAGGGGTGGATCCAACTGAGATGGCTTAAGCAGTCACTGTTCTCAGGTGTTTACCCTTCTCTCTTCTACTCTTGAGCTCTCTCAGCTTAAAACTTTTCCTAGCAGAATAAACTATAACGGGAGCTGGTCAGACCTCAGTCATCCCAGTTAAACTCACTGCTAACCATGCTTATTTCTTACCTGACCAGATGAAAAGAGAGACATTTGGGAAGGTCCGTAAGAGTGGACCGCTCTTTAAATAAAAGGAATTAAATAAACTTTTGTAGCTAGAAGAGATACCCTCAATCAGTGGGGCATGTGCTCTTAATTCTCACTGCCCATTTAAACAACAGAGAACTTATTAAGCTATATCTAGCCTAGCTGATCTCTCTAGTCTCCCTAGATTATCGCTGGACAAACAGAAAGTCTATGGTATAGGTGCAGCTTTTATGCTGGTGTATAAGCCGTGATCTTCAGGGCACGTGGCTATACTTGTCTTTTCTATATCATTAAAAAAGTTAAGCTGTCTGAATTGCTGAAGGTAGGTTCTGTATTTATAGTGTCACCAGAATGCTGACACATTAGGAGAATGTGTTCTGTGAAGCATGTTTTTTATGTTTTTATAGGTAATTCAATGATAGCAAAAGCCATCAAGACTATTTTGAGACTGTCACTAAATGAACAAAGTGGTCACGTATATGAAAAAGCAACTAATTTCTACTTGGATTGAAAGAAGGCAAAAATACATCAATTTCTGATTCATATAAAGTTGTATTTACCTGATTTGCAATTCAAAATGAAAACAGAAAACCCACCAACTATAGGTTTACATGGCAACTGTGTACTCGCAAAGCCAGTGTGTTGATTTGGTGTAAAATGATGGAGAGTGGAAGCAAGTTCCCTAACGCAAGTGGAAAGCAGTTCTCTGTTAGAGAAGAGTTTAAAGCACAAAGCCAGCCCCAGTCAGAAAAGGGATTTGACTCATGCAGCTATTTTTCCAGCAATGCCAACAACTTCAGGTGTAAAGTGTTTGATACACAAGAAAAATGACTCATCCTGTTCAGGGCAAATGACTTTCTCTGCAGCTCACACTCAGCTCAGCAGCAGTGTGTGCAGGCACAGTGGTAGTCTCGCTACCCAACAACAACACCACTGCTTGGCTGCTGAGACTGAACTAGACAAAGAAACAGAGTAAGAAAGAAAAACAAAATAAAATAAAAAAGAAAAAGAAAAAGATGTGTAGCAGCAACCACGAAGAAATATTGGAACAGATAACTGCAGAGAAAAAAAAGGAACATGAAAGAAAGGATGGGAGGAGGGAGAAGAAAAGAGAAATTAAGAAAAAAAGACTAAGGAGAAGGAAGAATGGTGAAAGAGAAGCAGATAACAGTAGGGAAGATATTTCATGACGATTCAGCTGTTTTATTAATGAGCCAATTTCCAAAACCAATGAGAATCTCTCTTCCTGCTTGAACCTCCTTAGAACTTCTTTATGGCAGTGGTGATCTGACTATGCCCATCTTTTACCTGCTTTCCTAATTCTGAAGGATACATGGGACACTTGCTTCAGGAATTCCAAGCCACAGGTCTTATCTGCCAATAGCAGCAGTTACCAAAGACAGGAGGCTTGAACATCAGTTCTGCTCCTGACTATGCAGGTTTCAATACGATACTCATCACCTGAACGTTGCTACCAAAGCACCTTCCAGGAGTGGGGTCAACAAATGTGACTGATTATCTGCCACGTGTTGTCCTTTCCTTCTCTTTCTGCAGGGAGAAAAAGCAAAAGGCAGGAACCTGAGGTGCTCACCTTGGCAGGAGATGCTGGCAGCCACCACACATGCAACGCAGCACCATGCAGCTGAGCTGAGCTACCTAGAAGGGTGTTTGCACAGCCCTACCCAGAACCACTGATACCTGTAACACCTAAACTCAAATCAGACTGATTAAGTGCTCCTCAATCTTCATTTTCTAAGTAGAAGGAAACGCAAGAAGAAACCAACAGCAGAGATGTTGAGAAGGAAGTGAGTTCTTCTTATACTTCAATTACTCTGGGACTAGATTCTTGCTTTGAGGCACAGGCCAATGGATGCACATGAACAAGTTGGGCACTCAAGCTGCTTTGCTGACTTGTGCATGTGTCCAAAGAAGAGAGAAAGAAGGAAAAGGGGTTGTGGATATGAAAAAAGCCCTGGTCCTCCTTCACAGTTATTTACTAAACTCTCAGCCTGAGCCTCTGTGGAAACTAAGAACTGGGATAATGTTTAAATGCTCTGCAGGTCCTATGGGAAAAAGAAGGGTTTTTCCCCATAAACAAAAACGTAGTCCACACAGTCTTGCTTCTAAGAAAAGATATGGGTTAAAAAACATAAATGAAATAAAGTTAACAGGACAGCGCCCCTTCAAAAGGGAGGAAACATCTGTCATTTTCTTTATGCTGCAGAGGGAACTATATGACAGCTCAAAGGACAGCTGTCCTATACCTTTGCATTCCCAAGGAGTTGTCCCTCACTCTGCCATCAGACCTTGCTGTACTCAAGTCTCAGGTTCAGACAGTGGCTCAGCTGCAAAGAAAGCCTGTCCTAGCTCAGCTGTGTACCCTACAGAGGTCATGCCCAATGACGCCTTGACTTCCTCACCCATGTTTCCTGCCCGGCTCTGACACAAGTGGGCCCACAGTAGCCAGGAGGGGTAGATGTCAGATGGGCACTGCAGTCTGTGTGTGACTGGCAAAGCTTTCTAAATTAAAAGGACTACATTGGTATGTCACTGTGACTTTCCACCAACAAGCGCCAAATCAGAGGAGACAGATTCTCTCAGACATTGAATGCTGCAGGGGCCTCTTGATCTATGGACACATTCCTTGTATTTTATAATCTTCATGCTTGGCTACTATTTCATGCTTTCTTAGCTGATGGAGCAATGCTGAGGTTAGCCCAGGAGAGCTATTTACACTGTGCCAACTATTGGTATTTACCTCTTGTTCTGTAGGTGCCAGAGCACATAAATAGCTCTCCTTGACTGACCTTAAAGACCAGCTGCCAGCCACAGAAGAGTAAAATGCTATGGCTGCCTTAAACTTCCTTCCTGAGTGATGTTTAGTTATTAGGAGGAAACGCTGTTAGGGAGCCCAATGAACTCACTGACAGTGGTCACTCCCATTTTGAATGTCATTCACTTGGCATCCCACCAGCAGAGCCAAGTGTTGCTCTGCAGCGTGGGCGAGCAGGCAGGCATCCTTGCAGGGCTGGGTTGGGGATATTTCCATACTAAAAATCCCATTGTTGCGGATCTTAAGGGATTTACAAGATGTAAAATTAGCAAGATTATTAAGACTGAAGTATTATTTCAGGCCGTAGTTTTGATAACATTTTTTAAGTTAGGAAAAAAAATATCATCAGCCATTACAAGTGATCCTTCAACAAAAATACCTTAATGTAAATGAGATCAGCCAAGGGCCTCTGTACTCCTTATGTGCAACCAAGTCTATTTGAGTCTATTTACTGTATATTTTACATCTACCTGGAATGACAGTACATTACTTTTACAGACTCTTTTATGCACAACCTCCTCATTAGGAAAAGCTTGCCTAGGGAACACAAGGAGGCAAGTGCCATTCCTGGACAGGGATGCTTTCCTGAACTGGAAAAATTTGTTACTGTATAGACCCAACTCCACAATACTGTACCTGCCAAGGAGCCAGAAAGCACAGAGGGAACTGTGTGTTGGAAGATCTAATTAAACGTATCAAAGAAGCTTCTAGACAGTCTCTTTTTGCTCATTTGCAGTTCAAGGCCACCTCTAAAGACATATTCGAGTCCCTAATGAACCATGATGACTTCTAGATGAACAAAATCAGAATTTCAGTAATCACAGGAAAAAGAAAACTCATAATAATACAGATGATTCTAGTCCCATCTATTTTAAGTGTCTTTAATTTTTCTGATTTTAAACACAGTGAATTTTTTAGTTCCATGCCAGGAGTATTTTGGATAGATTTTAACAACAGGCATATAAATGAGTAGTGCAAGGAAGCTTTCTTACCTCACAAAACATAGGCAACTTTTTGGCAAAATCCACCACTCTTGTAATCGCTGGTGTGATAATTTTTGTAAACTGGCTGAAGGCTTCTAAATCCACTTTCCCACCTTCTGGGGCGTTAACTATTGGTGCCTGTCCAATGTCTTCTGGCTAAGGATATAAAGAAAGATATTTAAAGGAACAATCTATCTTAGAGCAACTATTTTATACTCGAAAAAGTCCTGCTTGGCAATGGAAGATATGCTAAAATTAAAAATAACACTATTCACTTTATAAGTAATGCCCATTACACCACAAAATATGAATTTGCTTGTAAAGCACAGAGAAATGGGTGATTGACATGTTGTTACCCATCCTGTGCGGGCAGCTGCACTTTTGTGCACATGCAGTTTCTTCCTTGTGCCCATATCTGACTATTTTGTGGGTGTAGCTTATGCGGTTTTTGCTTAAAACTACAGGCACGTTCTTGTTTCTTACAGGTGCTGAGGACTCTCAAGTTTCTCTAAAAGTGAAGGGAGCTGAGGTGACTTGTTACCCCTGAGAAGATGCTCAGAGCGTTGCAGAATTGGGCTCTTTCACCTACTCAAAGTTCTGAAGTCTTCCCAAGAACAGATTGCCTGGCATCACAGAGCTTCAGGCAACTGCCAAGGCCTGTTTCCAAAACTAAGCTAAAACAACTGATGACTAAGAATGGGCTAACCCAGAGCTAGCCTGCATAAAATGACTAGAATTTGAACTCATCTGTGTAAAATTTTGGTTGAAGATCACCATCTGCATGACTTCAGCCCAAGGCTTCTCCAAAAGAGAAATAAAATCCTATTTTGAGGATTTCAGTAGGGATATACAATGAAATAGGCTCAAGGAGAATCTGCAAGAAGTGTTTTTTTTATTCCAACTGCACTTCAACTTGTTCACCTGATTTTGACAGCTCATCAATGTTACCAGATATTTTAAAAACAGGACTATCAAAGCTGTTCTGTTCGCTAAGTGTGGTTTTGCAGTTGTGAAAGACCTGCCAACCACCCAGCAGAGGTTCCATTTTTTTCACATTAGAGAGCCAAAAACCGGATAAAATCCAGAGAAAAAAGCCTCTAAGACTGATGGACTTAACGACATCTATGTAAGGGCACTTTAACAGGGGAGGCGCTGAAAGTGCTGTCTATAATAAAAACTTATGCTAGCCCATTTTTTAAAACAACATATCATAAAAGATCCTTCCACAGCTCTGTCACAAATCTGAATCCAAATCTAACTTATTTCAAGAAAAAACTCAGCAATGTGTTAATGAAGCAAGCACCAATTGTAAAGGAACAATGAAGAGGACTGGGCTCAATTATCTGACGGTTCCTACTAAAAAACTCAAATAATCCCAGTTCTAGGCTCCCTCCCTCCCTGAATCTTGGGAAACGAAACCACATTGTCTGTGTGCTCATGATAAACAACCTTCATCACTTCCAAGCAAGAAGACCAAATGCTTAAACCCACGCATAACATTGTTCGGGAGAAAAAGAGAGAACACAGTATTTTCTTGGGAAAGCTAAAAGAAACTAGGATTGCTAGCTAAAGCTAACACACTCCAGAAGGGCATGCAACTGGAGAGCCCGTGCCACCTAACTCACCTCAATAGGAAAAGAGCTGCAGACCTCAAAGCAGCTCCTGCTGTTGAAGAACCAGCCTCAGCTGCCTAAGGACTGACCCACAGTTCCTGGGGCATGCCGTCAGCTCCTCTTGATCTTCACCAGCTTCTGGCAGGGGCTTTCAAAGCCCTCCACCTGGGGTTGGCAGGCCATCCTGGACTTTCCCTTCTGTGCTCACCGCAAGGTGTCAGTGAGCTCCCTATGCTTGCCTTGAAACCACTGGGCTTCCGCATGTGAGCACTGCAAAGAACCAGGAGGCCCTGCATCAAGGGCTGCACTGAGAGCAGTTTGCTCTGGCATAGGAACCACCTGTGGAAGCCACAGCTAGTTTCTGAACTGTCCATTACAGCTGCCACCCCTGCCTCTGCCCCAACCCTCCCCTCTTCCAATAGCCCTGTCATTACACCACCTCATGCCCTGCCTCCAGGCACCGTTTGATGGAGGCTCTCCCTCCGCTCGGCTTCCAGAGCCTGAAGCCCCTCAACAACATTTTATATAGCCCAGTCCCTACCAGCTCTCTGCCTGTGTCCTCGTTCCCAGACTGGACCTCAAACTCCCCATGCTTTATCCCAAACCGGGAGATACCGAAAGAACAGCACTCCTGCCTAAGTAACCAAATCACACAATCACAGAATATTCATGGCTGGAAGAGACCTTTGAGATCATTGAGTCCAACCACAAAAAAAAAAAAAAAACCAAAAAAAAAACCCCCAAAAAATAACCACACAAAAAACACACACCTACATCACACACACCCACAGACACAAACCAACAATCTTGGGCATTAGAGCATGCCCTGAGGTGCCATGTCTACACGTTTCTTAAATACCTCCAGGGATGGCGACACCACCGCCTCCCTGGGCAGGCTGTTCCAGTGCCTGACCACTCTCTCAGTAAAGTAATTCTTCCTAATATCTAATCTAAACCTCCCCTGCCCCAACTTTAGACCATTTCCTCTGGTCCTGCCATTATTCACTTGGAGAAGAGGCCAACACCCACCTCTCTACAACCTCCCTTCAGGTAGCTGTAGAGGGCAATGAGGTCCTCCCTCAGCCTCCTCTTCTCCAAACTAAACATGCCCAGTTCCCTCAGCCTCTCCTCATATGACTTGTTCTCTAGACCTCTCACCAGCTTGGTGGCTCTCCTCTGGACACGCTCCAGAATGCACCATTCCAGCTGCTTCTTGGTCTGCTAAAGCCTGCTCTGCAGACCTTGCTGTGCAGCATCACCGGGCAGTGCTCTGCTGCTTCTGCCCAGTGATCACTCACTGGCTGTGGTTTCCCGACTGCACGCTACTATGAGCACGCAGCCATTCATATAGAAAATTAGACAGCGCCACTGGAATTAACAAAACACTATAAAAGGGATCAGCTGGTTTGAATATATAATTTCTCTTAGCAATTTAACAGCGCGTCGAGATTCCCACGGTGAATTAGGCAGCAGGAGCCTAGACTTGCAAAAGTGAACATTCTCTATTTGATTTGGCATACACGAACTGTTAGAGACAGACCCCTGTGCATTCCTGACACGCAGCCTATAATCCCTCTTTTGTGCTGTACAAGCATTTTGTATTCCGCACTTATTTCCTTTAAAAATCGATTTAGAAAAATCAAATAAATCATCTTCTAAGGCTGAGCATCATAAATCACCATTTATTTTCTGATCCTTGAAAACTTAAGTCATCCTGTATTCTGCAATCCCAGTGCTATAGTGTATGTATCATCCTGCTTTCACTGAATTTCATTTTTCTTTCCCAAATTTATTTTAATTAATGTATTCAGTTTGGAACAAGAAAGCAAAAAATATGAGTAATTAATAAAAAAATATCAGCTTTCACCTAAAACTTTACATTGCTTTAACACTTAAAATATGTTGTATGCTAGGCCCTAATAAAGACAACTATCCTTAGATATAACATATAAAAAAGTTACGGTATGCGTTATAGACTGCTACTGCTGTTAATCAGGAGTGAAACGATTTTTCTACTTCTTTTGATCATAGCACAGGAAAAGTATCCAGCTGGGTAAGCCTTAACTCAGCAACATGCTGTTTATCTTTTGAAATACATCGTCTGATCAAACACTGAGCTTCAGGCAAGAATAAGCAAGTAGCAATTATAAAAATCCTCCATTTTTTCATGTATGTCAATACACTGGCAGAGAGATCCTCTTTGGGGTTGCAATGCTGGGAAGGGACTTCAAAAGAAAGAAACAAACTGGCTCCAAGAACAGTGTAAAAGGCTACAGTCCTCACCAGAAATTTCCTTTTCTGCTTCCAGTGGCTTCCTTGTGCATTGGTGGCCACATGTGCTTCAGTAACAATTTTGATGAGCTCCCATTCCTCATCTGTTGGCTCTGGTTTGTGCCCAATTGTTTTCTGCAGCTCCTCCCGACGTCTCTTCTCTCGATTTTCTTCTATCAGCTTCCTCTTTGCCAACCGCTTGCTGTCATCCAACACCACTAGCAGGGGAAAAAGCATACAAAAATGGCAGGAAGTTCTTTAAGGTTCACTAACCTTTGGTATTTTCTAGGCCTGAGGTACTAATTCATTACATACACCTTAACCAATCGGTAAAGAAGTACTTTGGTACACAGGTAACACAGTTCTCTCACTTCTCTCTGCAAACTTCATTTTCTCAGAAGCCTGGATTGCAAAGAATGACTTACCCTTCTGGTAACGTGACGGATACCACTGTTGCCGTCAGCGGCTTACTTTATCAATACAACATAGAACATAAAAGCTTTGTGAGGACTCAGACAAAGCACTCTTCTAATGGACTTGGAGTAGTCCATGTTGGGAAAGATGCACTTCTATTTTTTCTAAAGTAATACCAGCATGCTCACTGCTCTAACTGCGCAGAATGTGTTCTTGTAAGCCATCAGAAGGTACCATGGACTTAAGAAAGTGGGAGTACTTATTCACAGGAGACTCAACTACCTGTTGCATGACACGTTCAGGAACAATCCACCTTTGGCTTTTTCCATAAGCCCTACAAATGGTGCCATTCTGTAGCATTCCCCTAGAGCCCTGTGACTTCCAGTGATGGCAGACCCACAGGCCCAGGGCTGCACACCTCCCACCACCACTGAAGGTTTTATCCCATTTTCCATACAAACGTGAATAGGCTATTTAAAACAGCCTGGCCTGCTTTAGTGGAGGAGGACCATTCTGATCCACAGCTGGTGGCAGGCAGGTAGAAGCACCCAAAGCCCTGCTCACATGCTTCTGTTTGCACATTTTCACCCAAAGGTGGGAGAAAGCCTTCTCAAACTGGGGGACAGCTGGCCCATCTGCCATGGTCAGTGACAGCCCCTTTGGCATGTACATAGGTGCAGCCCACAAAGGTCACCCCAGCTTCGTGGTACTGGCACCTGCTGGTCAGAACCAGACCCAGAGAAACTTCTGGCTCTGCAGAGCTGCTGCCTGGCTGATGCTCACTGCTGTCTGCTGCCCCAGACTGGGTTGGGGGCCAGCTGGAGACCCAGAGGCAGCCAGACCTTCTCCTGGCTAAAACAGAACTCTTTAACATCTTTATCAATGATCTGGATGAGGGGATCGAGTGTACCCTCAGTAAATTTGCAGATGACACCAAGTTGGGCGGGAGTGTTGGCCTGCTGGAGGGTAGAGAGGCTCTGCAGAGGGATCTGGACAGGCTGGATCGATGGGCTGAGACCAATGGGATGAGCTTCAACAAGGCCAAGTGCCGGGTCCTGCACTTGGGTCACACCAACCCCAGGCAGCGCTACAGGCTGGGGGCAGAGTGGCTGGAGAGCTGCCTGGCAGAAAAGGACCTGGGGGTGTTGGTCGACTGTCGGCTGAACATGAGCCAGCAGTGTGCCCAGGTGGCCGAGAAGGCCAACAGCATCCTGGCCTGTATCAGGAACAGTGTGGCGAGTAGGGCCCGAGAGGTGTTCATCCCCCTGTACTCGGCACTGGTGAGACCCCACCTCGAGTACTGTGTCCAGTTTTGGGCCCCTTACCACAAAAAAGACATTGAGGGGCTGGAGCGGGTCCAGAGAAGGGCAATGAAGCTTGTGAAGGGTCTGGAGAATAAGTCTCACGAGGAGAGGCTGAGGGAGCTGGGGTTGTTCAGCCTGGAGAAAAGGAGGCTGAGGGGAGACCTTATCGCTCTCTCCAACTACCTGAAAGGAGGCTGTAGCAACCCGGGGGTAGGTCTCTTCTCCCAAGTTACAGGCGATAGGACAAGGGGAAACGGCCTCAAGTTGCGCCAGGGGAGGTTCAGGTGGGATATTAGGAAAAATTTCTTCACTGAAAGGGTTATCAGGCATTGGAATGGGCTGCCCAGGGAAGTGGTTGAGGCACCATCCCTGGAGATATTTAAAAGACCAACTGACATGGTGCTCGGGGATATGGTTTAGTGTGGGTGTGTTTGGTTTTTTTTATGGTTGGACTAGATGATCTTAAAGGTCCCTTCCAACCTAGGCGATTCTGTGATTCTGTGAAACTGTCATTTCACCTACTTCCCTCTAGACAGAAGATGTTGTTACACATTATATTACCAACGAAAAATACCAAGTTAGGATCTTTTTCTGTTGTTTATTGGGCCTGATTTCCTATCAGTTTTTCTGCAGAGGATTATGCTGGCAACAACCATTAACGTTAACGCACAGTGGGATTTACGTGACTTCCTCTCATTTGCACTAATTGACATTATCGGTGTAAATCCCTGTGCAACGGCAGGAAAAGAAGACCCCTAAGGGTTAATCTTACAGCCATATGTTCTAGTTCTTTAGAATGAGAGTGGAATTCTTTGCAGTAGATAACTTCTTCAGGGCTAAAAATAAAACAAACAACTGCAGGATGACTCATACAACGACATTCAATTTCACATCCTCCAGAATTTTCTAAACAAGATGTTTTTTTCTAAAGCAAAGTGTCCATCCAGATGCATTTCTCCCTCCTCTCCTCCAAAGAGTGAACATTCCTACTGTTACTCAGCCTGGTAAAGCCAGGAGAAGGTGCAGCCTGGTGAAGGATAAACAAAGAATTACAGCCCCATGAAAGTGATTTGATGCAATGAGCACAATTCTCCAGTACAAGTTATTAAAAAAAAAAAAGTGCTGGCAATTCTGCTCTACTTTAACAATCTTCACCAATCAACATACTTTAAGCAAACACACACATTAAAAAAGAAAAAAGAGAAAAGAAAGAAAAACAGAAAAATATACTTACAATCTGTTGCCATGCCAACAAAGATACATTTTTTGAAGCGACATTCCTGGCACTGATTTCTTGTTACTTTGTCTATCACACATTTTCCTTCATATTTACAGGAATAGGTTGGATGGAGGTTTTTCTGAATGGTTCTTCTAAAAAAACCCTAAGTGCAATAAATTGGGAAACATTAGCATTGTGCAATTTCTTCAAATTGGGAGCCACTTTGGTTTGTTAAAAATGTACCTAAGTGTACAAGATAACATACTTCATGCCATGAAACTCTCAAAGAGAAAAAGAACAAACTAGTTTTATAGTGCATGGTGTTTCTTTTCTGAGTTTCACGAAACATTTTGTCCCTAAAACCTGAAAACATAAAGACATCTGAAGGAAGTAAAGCCATAAGTAATGCTGTCTCAAGGGGCGAATACTGTCTACATGTCTCCTTGAAGTCTTATGTTTCTGTGTGATAATTCTTTTTTTTTTTTGTATTTGAAGTGGAGAGTTTACTTTGAGCCCCTTTCTAAATGACATAACCATTTTGAGGGATATTAAGAGGCATATACATACTTTTAATTAAAGAGCAGCTTCTGCAAATAGTAAGAACGGTGGTGCGCATGAGCCACTACAGGATTAAGAACAAACAGTTCTACTTCTTTCTTTCCATCAAAGCCAAATAACCAACCTACCAAATCTGGGCAAGACCAAGAATTTTGGAAACACAATTTACACAATCTTTGAGTTTGATTCTAAATAATGGATCCATGATTTTAAAATTATCTGTATTTCTGAGAAGAGGATTTAATTTGTATTTACTACAGACCTCTGTATTCAACGCAAAAATCATCAATAAAAATCCCGCTATATATAAATTCTTTCTATCTATCTATCTATCTATCTATCTATCTATCTATCTATCTATCATAATATATTGCCAACTACAACACAGATATGAGGTCAGATCCTAAGCTCATGCGAGCCAATGTAGCTCCACTGAATCCCTTGATTTATACACGACATAGACCTTGGCCTTAGGTAAAGAAATCAGATACAAATTATCTCTGAACATTATGGACCTAATTAATTTCAACATGACTTTCTCATTAACTTATGCAATAGCTGGATAAACTTCCCATGAAGTCTGCAAGATATGGAAAAGACAGGCTGTAAAGCAAGAAATTTAGACTTTGCTTTAATTTCAAATTTCACCATTGTTTGAGACTGTCCACATTCTGCAACGCAGCTTGGGACCACCTTGACAGAGAGAACACACTGGGACCTTGGTCCTGTTTTACTGAGGCCACTGAGAATGGCTTTGATTTCAGTGAAAACAATAGCAAAATTCAAGTGAGATTTTACCTAATGAATACTCTCTTCAGCTGGGATTTTATCTAATGAATAGTCTCTTCACTTCACTAGATGAAATGTCTGGTTTTAATCATGTTAAATAACACCCGGTAAAATCTTATAGCAGTGTGTAATTTCTTTTAACATAGAATGTTGAATAAAAAAGTATGGATAAGCCTGTATTTCAGCTTGAGCTCCCAACTCCAGTGAAGACAATATGCAGCCTTGTCCTCATCAGAGTTTATTCTAACAAGATCCAGCTCAAGCTAAGAGTAAATATCCCTCTTCCTTGATAACAGTAAGACCTGAAATCTCAATTAAACTGAACTGCAGGAAATCACAGGCAAGATGTCCTTCTGTGGGGTTTGGATTGGGTCTCAAACTCTCATTTACCCAATAGGTGGATTTGGATCCACTCTCAACCCTGTGATGAATTCCTAGAGACCACACCTGCCTCTCTCCTCCCTGAAGATCAAAGACAGCTCTGGACAACCAGGGACATGGGGTAACCTCTAGTTACAGAAAGAGATGGAAAAATCTCTGATGAATCTCAGAAGAGCTTCTGTTTTCCAAACCTTGCATGGGACTTAACGTAGGTCTCACTTTACAATGGTAAGGCTCTTCACCACCTGTGTTGGAACCAGCACATTTCAATCTTCCCATTTCTAGAAACCTTTTGAAAAAATTCTCTTTGATCATCTCTAGAGACAATATGATAAGGAAGCTGCTTTCTACATTTGTCCAAACACTTCATCACAGAAGTGTTATTTTCATCAGTAAAAGAAAGCATATTTTATTGTAAAGCAACTACTCTTTTCCCAAATTTGTATATTATGCACCTACCTAGCAATAGATGCAATGGCTACAGTCTGGAGAAACATTTCAGTGATGTCAGATCTCAATGCTGTTTTATTTGTCTTTAAACTCCTTACAATTTACTCTTCAGAAATCATGTGTGAGGATGCTTTGTTCATGAAAGCACTTGCCAAAGCAAATATTGGGCTGTCAACCCTGATTAATGTTGTTACAAAATTAAAGTGATTTTGAGTGGAAGCAACTAGTAAATGTCAAATTCATTGAGAATTGATTACATATAACTTTGCTGATAAATTATACAACTGGAAATGTGTACACAGACCCTCCAAGGCATGCACTGAAATTGTCCACACAAAACCCCCCATCTTTTACAATGAATACATTTGCAAGAAGAACAATAAACCAAAACAAAATGGTCTGTTTGTAAGCCAACTACAAGTACGAGAACAAAATTAATTACTTCTTGTAAATTGTTAGCTCAGTTCCTTGTGCATATAATCATTATTTTAAATTGTACATCAGACAAAAGAACTGTATCTGAAGATAAAGGTAGATTTTGTATGCTATATCTTCAAAATTGCTGGTAGGCATAAAAAGAAATACTTCAGTTTGAGTAACAAAAACCTTAGGAAAGCTGCTGAGAGATATAGCTGTTCAGCTGGGAGAAAAAGATATTTCATAATGCCACAGTGTCACTTACTTCTCATTATATCTGAATTAAGTCATATTCATACATTTTATGTATTGTTATAATCTCGTATATGGGATGTAAATGTGTAAGAAACACTTGTTCAGTTACAGTTTTCTCAGATATAAATGTTTTTTCACACGTATTATTTATGTATGTCTATAAAACCATTCTGAACATTACCACAAACCTGCTATATGTAGGATATTTAGGTCTTTGTGCATTTCATAAATGTAACTTAGAGCAAAGAGGTTCAACTGGAAGAGCTCCTTCAGCAAAAGAGTTACTGTGATGTGGAGCTCTAAAGCTAATCCAAACCCAAAATCTCAGATCCAAATACTCCAGACTTTGGGGATGAACAGAATACAGCTTTTGTGGCTTAGTCCCATGACACTAGTCCATGGCATGTGTGGTCCCATTTGTTTAGAAAAACATAATCATTTTTTATTTTCTGCAGGAAAGAATAGCTTTCTTACAGGATCTCAAGCTATTCAGGCAAATTTATGGCAATGAAATCATTTAAGATGTGCCTGATTGTGTTACTCAATTTTATTTTTTCTTTATTTGCTTGCCCAAAGCAATCTCCTTTTAAATTTTGCATGTAGCTTTGGAGATGCAGTTTAGGGCTGAAAGCACATTTCAATATGCTTAAGTTAAAGAAGGCACTATTTTTTTGAAACTGTCTTAACTGCGTGTCAATGCTTCCCAAAGTGATGGATCTATGAGCATGTGGAAGGGATTTTGATTTTTGCTTCTTCGTAGTGATGATGAGAGGCACTGAAACACTGTTAATCACTACAGATTCTTCATGGCCATCAGCAGAACCTCAGCTATTGCATAAACAGCTTCAGTGGAGTTGCTGGGAGTCTGCTGATGTACTCTGGCTGAGAATATGGCAAAAGAAACATTAAAAATGGAAAAGCTAACAGTTAAATAGCAATAACAAAAATCTAAATTTCTTGTTTTCTTTTCAGAAGCAAACACTGCAAAAATCAACTATATTCCTTATGCATATGAAGAGCAGCGGCATAGCCAGATACGGCTTATCATCAGTACTGGATGTTCTTATTCGCTTCTAATCTGTCTTTGTTTTATTTGACAGCACAGTTCAGGAAGTCTGTATAATGGAGGAGCTGGAGAGCTATTTCTGATTCCCACTTTCCCACTGTGCCATTTACCTTGCAACCTTCGCAAGTGATGCAGCGATAATGATATCCGGTGGCTTTGTCCCCACACACTACACATAGCTCATCCTTGTCTAAGTAACTGGGTATATACCCTGTAAAGAAAAAGAGGATGCGGCATGTAAACTCGATATAAAATGATATGAAACAATTGATATAAAAATATTACATTGAAATCTGCTTGTCCATCTGAATTCACTGAATTTCTGGAATAAAAAGCTCATACTAACAATTATTTAAAGAATTATTTAAACATCATCTGTAATATCTTTTACTTTTCACATTGTTTCAGCACCTACTGATCAAGAGGGAGAAGCTGGAACATGACTGATCTCTCCTGGGTGAACTACTACCTCAGAAAAAATAAGTATATTTATTTTTACCTCAAAGGCTTTGATGTGCATAAAAAAATAACTGTGAGACATACGGTATATTCTTCTAATCTGTTTCACAAAAACCCAATATACTCATATACTGAAGATAAGATCCCAGGTTGCAGGTGACTCAGGGACCTGGTCGAAAGAAATATTTACTGAGAGATCGTTTGTTTCAAGACAGGTGTGGTAAGAGAAGTACCAACAACAGATAGTCCAAGCTGTACTGATCCCACCTTACCTGGGCATGTTCCATAGGAGTATTTAATATAGCCTGAATTTAGGGCAAAATACGTGGGCATTCAAATATGTGTGTACGTGCATGTGTTAGAATGACATTTTCTCTTCTGAAGTGGCTCACCAGACACCCAACAAGTGAAACAAAATATTACTGCTATGAAAAACATTGGCAATGCTTCCTTCTTTCCCCACAATGACATTTGTTTTGATAACATAAACATATTTCCAATTTGAGCAAAAAACCAAAACAATCTTGATGGCAACCAAAAAGTAATTCTAAAATAAAGAGAACTTTGAAACAGGGTAAAATAGGAACCTTTCAAAATATGTGTTCCCATAACTCATAATTAATGGTGTTATGGTACATTACTTTTCCTTCTGAAAAATCTCTCTGTAAAGATGTAACACAGAGACCTCAGATTCATTTTGAGGGGAAGAGAGGAAAGTCCAGCTACTTGTGTAATCGCGTAGGATTATTAAAGTGTAGTAAATATTTCACAGGATCCCAGAATCCACAGAATGGCCAAGGTTGGAAGGCACCTCTGGAGGTCATCTGGTCCAACCTCCCTGATCAAGCAGGGCCACCAAGAGCTGGTTGCCCAGGACTATGTCCAGAAGGCTTTTGAATATCTCCAAGGATGGACACTCTACAACCTTTCTAGGCAACCTGTGCAAGTGCTCGGTCACCCTCATAGTGAAAAGATAAGATTATTTTATTGTCTCCAGAAGGAATTCCTTGATTTTCTATTTGTGCTCATTGCCTCTTGTCCTGTCACTGGGCACCACTGAAAAGAGTGTGGCTCTGTCTTCTATGTGATGGGGGATCAGGTAGTCACACACATCGATAAGAACCCCTCCTCAAGCCTTCTCTGCTCCAAGCTGAACAATCCCAGATCTCCCAGCTTCTCCTCATAGAACTCCAGTCCCCTCATCATCTTTGTGGAATCATTCAGAATGCCCATGTCCTTCTTGTACTGAGGAGCCCAGAACCAGACCCAACACTGCAGATACATTTCACCAGAGTCGAGCAGTGGGGAAGGATCATCTCCCTGAACCTGTTGGTGACGATCCTCCTAATGCACACCAAGACGCCATTGACCTTCCTTGCCTCAAGGACACACTAGCAGTGTTCAACTCAGGCTCATGTTCAACTTGCTGCCCACCAAAACCCTCAAGTACTGCAACGCAAAGAACTTTCCAGGCAGTTGGGACCCAGTCTGTACCGCTGCATTTATTATTCCTCCCACAATGCAGGATTTGGCATTTCCCTTTGATGAACTTCAAGAGATTCCTCTCATTCCATTTCTCCAGCCTGCTGAGGTTGCTCTGAATGGCAGCACACCCATCTGGGGTACCAGCCGCTCCTCCCAGTTTTGCATCATCTGCCAACTGTCTGAGTGCAATTTATCAGTGCAATGAGGGAGAGTCCTTTAGATGTGGCTGCCTGTCATATTATCCCTTGCCACTGGCTTGCTGAACCCACCTGTAGCACCACACACCAGAGGAGCCTCCAAGCTTGCTGTCTTTGTGCAGCCCCCACACCAGTATAGCTCGGTACAGCCCTGGGACTCAGCACACCACTGTGACATGGAGGACAACCAGCAACAAGACTCAGGGCAGCAGAAGGCTGTTGGACAGTGCTGCAAGAAGGGTGCTCATCATCTTCCTGTGACTAACATGTCAGAGGGCCAGCTCAGTAACACACAGCCCAAATGAAAGTGCCTATCTAAGGCTACACTTGCCAGGGGTTCTCCAGAAAAAAAGCCCGAATCAGAGAGAAAGTACTTGAAATTACCTGAGCTTAAAATACTTGAACTTTCTGCGGACTGGTGAGTGGATTAGGAGAAAGTAAAGAAGGAAGAAGGCAGGAAGTATTTGTGTGGTCTACGTCACACTACGTCTACTTTGAGCATAACTATGAGAACCTCAAATTACAGAGGAACACACATCCCTCTTCTGTAATGCTTCAGGAGCACTCCGAAGCTGTGCCTGGGTACCTGCATCTCAGGTTTGCCAGCACTCCTAGTGGCATCTGAAAGGGGAGCGGGGGAACGAGCTGAGATCTTACTGGTGTATCACACCAGTAAGCAAAATATAATACAGCAAAAGATGAGATTCACATTCAGGTTACATTTCTCCATGATGAACAAGTTGTGCTTGGGTAAAGACTGGTGGACACATGGAACTAGTTCCGTGACCTTGAGGGAAGAGAGACAGCAGGGGTTCGACTCCAATTTACATCACTGACTCCTAATGGACATTATGCCAGCGGGGGATTAGCGAGGCTATTATCTCCATCCTGCCCCCCTTTTGCTCACACCTGCCCCTGCACATGCAACTCACACACAACACAGAGCTGACACAGGAGGCAGCAGAGTTAGCTAAGGGATCCAGAATTTTCCATTACATTTCTCGTAAATATTCAGGGCTTCTTATTGCTTGCTACTGCTATTCTCGGAACACAGACTTAGTGTAGCATAGACTACATCCTCTAAAATTCAGTATCCCTGGTTTGCTTCCTCAAGAATTACTTCTGAACTAAATGCCTTGATGTTTCATTAAGTATATAATCTGGTTAGCACTGCTCATGTAATGGCAGCTTTGTGCTATTGGAGGAGCAGGAGACCACTTGTCTAAACCACTTCCTTAAATATATACAGTAGCTGGCGCATGTGACTGCTGCTGTCCATCTCTCTCTTGGAGTTTCATGGCTTTATCCAACTCAGGAAACAGCCTCCAACTGGCAGAAAAGCCAAATCTCCTACAGGTGCTCCTAGTCAGAAATTAAAAACGGCATCCTTACGTGCAACCACATTCCCAATTTTGCTGCATTGGAATGGTTAAGTACCAGCAACTTAAACGTTAAATATTAAGTTCATCACTTTTGCAGGACTGTTCCCATGTCACAAGGTAAGCACACACTTTGAACTCTTCTACTGGTTCAACAGGAAATGGATAGAAAAATCTTATCCCCAGAAATCACTGGCAATAAAAGGGTGCAATAAACATATTTTTCTTTCTATTACAAATCTGAGAGTGATATCCATACTTCTGTACATTTTTAACCCTCCTTCCAACAGCTAATGGCGTCAGAAATTGCTAGAAAGTAGGAAAATTGGATCTTCAGTAGTATTTTAAAAAGACATAATTCAGACAAGCAGACATCATGCCAAGAGGAACAAGGGGACTTACATTCAGATTCTCACAAACCGTAATGTCCATTGTAACTTCCAGTTGCAAATATCCAGTCTGACCTCTGTATAAATTCAATGCAATTTCATTTGTAAGCCGTGCAGAAAAGCAGTCTCAGTGCATTTTTGCTGCTACTCAGAGTTAGAAACATTATCAGCAGGAGGAAATTCAACAGTGTCTTTCTAAACTTGGTACCATGGTACATGGACACTAGGAATACCGCAAGGGAGATTCTTGGGGAAGACGCGGATGTCAGCAGAGTTGTGTGTTGGATGGTTTGAGAAAGAAGCAAAGCAACAGACTTCTCTCAGCCCTTGCAGCACTTGGGGAAAAAAGAGTAGGGGCAGATTAATAGGGACTTGTCTCTCACATCAAGTACTTCAGCATCTTATGTGTTTAATAACCCTGAACCAAAAATAAAAACTCCTATGTGGAAGAAGCAGATGCTGTCTGGACGGAGTAACCCAGGTGCGCTCTTATGAAAGAAGAACGTCTGATGGCAAATCTCATGGGAACATTGGGTAGGTTCCTACTTCTGGTGTTCATGTTTCACCCTTTAATTCTTGGTCAATGCCTACTAAGTAAATAGCTAGGAGGAACACCAATCTCACTGAACTGCACAGTAATAACCAGTATCTTTCCTTGGTCCTTCAAGCCTCTGTCTGCTGTATTCGAACATCCTCATGGACTATCATTTGGTGATCCTAAAAGTTAACTAGCTGTCAGGTATGACTTGACATTGTTCATCCCAATGCCCACCTTGGATCTTAGCTTTGAGTGGAGAACACCAATGAACGGCCTTGACTCGCTGTGTCTGGTGTCTCCCCTTCAGCCTGAAGTAACCCCTTTGCCCCCCAGACTCCCACCTGCCGGTCCACCTAATCTTACTGCCTTGGCAAGGTGAAGTACTCAGCAGGACCAGTTGCCCCTGTCTAGAAGAATATGTTCTATAATCCATTATAACCAACCTTGACGGTGATTTACAATATCTTTTAAATCATACCGGTAGCTTTGTAGAGGTATGGTGAGAAACAACTCCCCTTGACAGGAAAATGTGCAACGCGTTTGCCCCGGCAGCCGTGAGGACATCCCGAGATCTGCTAACCTATGCAGGCACCTGAGGTACCCGGGTTCATTAATACTGTATGCCCATGCTCTCAAATTACCATTTGCAGGAATGATACCTTAAAGCATATATGTGACCCCGCACGGTGTAACAGATTGGAGAGACGCAAATGAGACACTCCGTGGCTATTCTTGCCCCTCCCTCCCTCCAAGGCAAAGAAAAT